AAGGGAGGACAGAGAGAGGAGAGGGAGGAGGAGAGAGGAGAGAGGAAATATAGAGAAGAAGGATACTGGGAGAAGAGAGAGAGGAGAGAGGAGAGAGAGAGGGAGAGAGAGAGAGAGAGAGAGAGAGAAAAGAAGGAACATGAGAGAAGAGAGAGGAGCGAGGAGGAGGAGGAGGAAGAGGCAGAGGCGGACGCGGAGGTGGATGATGATGAAGAGGAGGAGACAGGATGAGGAGAGGGAGGAAGAGGCGGAGGCGGACGAAGAGAGGAGGAGGAAGAGGCGGAGGCGGAGGTGCAGGCGGAGGCGGAGTTGGAGGCGGAGGAGGAGGAGGAGGGATGTCCAGAAAGGCCCAAGGGTGGCGCACCCGAGCAAGCGCCGGGGCCGCCGCCCGGCGATAGCCCACATGGAGGTGCGCGGCTCGGCGCCCGGGCGTGGCGCGGAGGCGTCGGCGCCGAGGGTCGCGACCATGGCTGGGACGGTGAGGACAGCTGCGCCTTCAACCTCTTCTTTCCTCTCTCCTCTCTCCTCTCTCCTCTCTCCCTTCTCCTCCGCCTCCTCCTCCTCCTCCTCCTCCTCCTCTGCCTCACCCTCCGCCTCCTCCGCCTCCTCCTCTTCCGCCTGCTGCTGCTCATGGCGGTCACGGGTCATGCTGTAGCCATGCAGACCTGTCCTGCCGTCATCTCCCCGCGGCTAAGCCCAGCGGGGAGGTGGGGGCGCATTAGGGAAAAGGTGAGAAGCCATATGTAAGAAACGAGGTAACCTAATGACCTAGATAGGAGCGGAGAGGTGGGGCGCCTGAAACAGAGCAGCCAGGGTGGTAAGGGCCTCACCTGTAACTCCAAACGGCGAACGCTCAGAGGCAAAGGAGAGGAGAGACGACGGGGAGGAAGGGGAGCCAGAGGGGAGTGGGGGAGGGGTAAGAGGAGGTGAGCGTTCGCCTCTACGCCTTGCAGGTGGTTCACCCCCTGTTCGCAAGGAAGGAGGAAGGAGGTATAGCAGGCCTCGAAGGGATACAGGAGGTGGAGCCGGGAGGGCGCAGGGGTAGGTAGGTAGGTAGGTGGGTGCGCGACTAAACGGGATGCGACAGGCGGTGTTGCAGCGCTTTCGCTTGGCCTGAAATGTGAGATTGAACTCTGCAATGAAGATGGGTGCGTACGATCTGAATGTCACAGGCGGTGCAAACAGTAAAAAGGGGTTGGCGCGGGGGTGGCTGCAGTTGCCTGCTCTTTTAGGGTGAGGCAGAGGGGTGCAGTTACCATGCTCTTTAGGAGGTGATGCAGTTACCATGCTCTTTTGGAGTGGGGACCTAACTGCGCCTTCGCTCGGCCTGAAAGGTGAGGTGGAGAATATAAGGAGGAGTGGAATGGCCTTGAGCGTACTGTGTGGGAACACGAATGCTAATTGTAAGGGCGAAACGGTAATCGAGTGCACAGGCACAGAGAAGATCATGTATGTGCACAGGTGGAGAAGAGAAGGAACATATGCGGTGCGAACTGGGCCCTGGGCGCTGGTGGGTGGGCGGGAACAGCGCGGTGAGCAGGTCTCTATCACCCCCCCCTATTGGCCACTCCTATCCATATAACCACGTCCCCCCGTCTGTCCTAACCTGTAGACCTCAGAGGCAGAAGTAGAAGAGGTACTTGAAGTAGAGGGGGTACTTGACATCAGAGTAGATGAGGTCGGAGGAGTCGGAAAAGGAAGTTGCTGCTCATGACCCGAGGAGGTGCGTGCCGATGGAGTAGGTGGAGTGCTCGGGGTCGGAGGTGTGTAGCCTTTAATGGTTGGTGGAGTGGGTAGTAGTACCTGTGGTCGTCGTCGGGCGCGTAGACACCTCGTGCGGCTTCGCACAGTGGCGAGGATGGCTATCGCCAGTCGTTAGGGGCGTAGTTGGGTGACGTAGTCGTTAGCTTGTCGAGGAACTTGGAGGTGGAGTCGTTGGCCGAAGTGCTTTCCTTCTGAATGTCTTCGGCCATGTTGTAGCTGACCTGTGATTCCCCTACCATCGTGGTAAGGGAATCGAGTTTGGCCAGGATGTCGTGGTAGTGGGAGCGGTACTCGATGATGATGTTTGCGATCAGGGCTCGTTTGCTGCTTCGCATGTTGCTGGATTGAGTGATGGTACCGCGTGCCCAGAGCTCGTTCTTGCCTTTGAAGGACATGTTGAGTATTGTGACTTCGTCGCCCTCGTTGACAGCGATGGTGCCGTGGGCGAGGGAGTCCTCAAGCTTGGTGTGGTGAGGGTAGCGTATGGTGGCTTCCACAGGGAATGTGATTGTAGCGGGGTTTACCTTCTCTTGGGTGGTCGTCGCAACGGGGAACCATCCAGTGGGCTTCTGGGGCTCCACTTGCGTGGGGGGGGGCTGTCGTTTGCGATGGGAGTATTGATGCTTGGCGTCGGGTCGCAGGTGCTGGATGCAGTAGTGTGCATGTGTTGTTCTCCTGCCGCGGGTGCTTCCAGCTGTGTGTTCGTATCGTCGTATCGGTCTTGTCTTTAGGTTGTGCTGCAGTATCTTCTTTGGTAGTCGGCATTGTGGGTGTGGCTTTAAATCTCACTGGCTGGGGATCTGGGTTTGGCAAACTTCGAGGGGAGACTTGGTGAGCTGGGTTGAATGTCGCCTGCGAGGGTGTGATTGCTGGCATTGTGCCGGCGTTTGTATTGCCACTGCTGGTAGGTATGAAAGTGCGAGTCATGTGGGCTGTATTGTCGATTGCGGTCGTCAGTGTCGTTTGCTTTTTGTGGGTGCTTTCTCCCTGCGAGGTCGGCTCCCGCGTCGGTAGTATCTCGATGTGGATCTCGCGCTCGAAGGTGCTGTGATCGTCGTGTGGTGCCAGTATGGGTTTTGGGCTGCGTATCTGTTTGATGCGATGGATAATGTGGCATGCGCGTGAAGGGTGTATGGCTCAGCGTATCATCCCATATGTTGTCATTGCAGTTCACAGCACAGCATGGCATGGTATGCGATGCGCACTGTAAAGTATATCATGTTTTTGCAGTGCATACAGCATAGTGGCATTGCGCTTTATAGCGTAGCATGGTGTATCCTGGAATTTAATAGCATAGTGCAACATGGCGCTGTAGTGCTGCATTTTTCCTGGCCCATAGCTTGGCGACAGATCACCGGTCGACTGATCGATGATATTGGAGGAGGAGGAGGAATGAGGAAGGGGCAGGAGGAAACAGAGAATGTTGACGTCATTGTTTATGACCGGCTTGTTGTCTCGATGCGGTCAGCACTCGACCAGCTAAAACCTAAACGCGCGCGAAGCACGCGCGATGGTTCTAGTTGAACGTGTAGACGTTTCCTCTCTCAGACGTCGTAGTACGGGTCCAGCGGGATGTAGAACTCCGCATTGTCGCCTTCCATCTCCCAGTTCTCGCGGTTTCGTGTAGTATCCATCTGTGGTGGATGGCGTCAATGATGGCGTGAGCTAGTCGTCTGCACTTTTTGGTGGTGTATGTTTTGGCGGTATAGCTCTCCCACGAGCCATCGTTGTTCCTTCCAGTTGAAAAGGGTGATGGATGCCTATGCCATGCTTGCGTATTCTGCGGTTGGGTAGTAGTGCTACCGTCCGTCGTATTTCTGGTACCTGTATTGTGAGGAGTGTAGTAGGTATCGCGGCTGTCTGTCCAGTCATGCATTGGTCGAAGGGGATGACGTCCACCCCGTCAATCCCAGTCAGGTGTGTTAGCTCTGGTAGTAGCCAGCAGCTGCTGTGTCTCCACCGTCGTTGATTATGGCGGGGTGCTCCTTGATCATGGGGACCTTCGTGTTGATGCATCTGTATGCTAAGAGAATGGTGGTACGCAGTAGCTGGTTGTCGCTGTGTAGTTGGTCGAACTGCCGTAGTGACAGATGCTGTGATCCCCAAGGCTGTTGTCGGCTCCTCAGGTCGTGGTTGGTGCCCGCTCCATAACTCGCAGGGTGGTCAGCTATGATCGCGGCGGCGCGACCGCGTAGGAGCGGTTCTCTCCAGAAATTTATGGTGTCCCATCTCGCGAGGTCTCCCTTGATCTCGTCGTGGGTGATGTCGATGGAGAGGGTTCTGATGCTGTTGTCGTTGGAGTTAAGGTACTTTATCAGTTGCTGTACGTCACCACTGCGTCTGTGCCCGCTGTAGATGTGTAAGGTGACCTGTCTCGAAGTTCTTGTGGGTCTTGGTATGGGCCTAGGGTCAGGTCTTGGTTCCAATGGTGCTCTAGCAGGTATGGGTAGCTCTCGTGTAGTCTCGTGGCCATTGACGTACAGCGGCGGTATGTGCGTCTTGTAGTTGGCGATGTGTGCGTGTAGCGGAGGTAGTCCAGCCTTGATGTTGCCTCTTTGCTCGTCGCGTATGGTTTTTCTGTTCGCTTTTGTGGTTGCTTCGTCATGCCTGTCTGTGTCTCGTTTCCACGGTGCTGCGCATGCGGTACACGCGAGTAAGTGTTTGACGAGTTGTCCCAATGTGTGGTATTCGTTGGAGCATGTCAGACATCTCGTTCCGTGAGCCCATCTAGTTGGGTGGTCATTTGTTGGGTGGTGTTTTCCTATGTGGGCGTAGAAGGCGCTGATCTCGGTGAAAGTGGTGCCACACTCGTAGCACATGCTCGTATTGTCGTTGTGGTTGATGTCGGTCATGAGTTGTGGGACGAGGTCGTTGTGCTGGTAAGGTCGCAAGCTGTTGTGCCATTGTCGTAGATGCTCTTGGTTTCGGTAGTGTCCTATGTGGCGTTGCGTCACCGTCTTGACCTGTGACGTGAGGGTCTGGGGCGTCATGCGTATAGAGCTGAGGACGGGGTCGAGGTCCGCGGTGGGGTGTAGCTTGTGCTCGTCGTCGAGGTATGTCCACATCCACTGTACTTCGCCGTATAAAATGTGACCCCATGACGAGTTTCGGCAGAGGCTGGCGTCGATGATTCGTAATAGTATGGTCAGGGCGTGTTGTAGGAGTCTCGGTAGATATCGTAGCCTGGAGATGCGCATGGTGATGTACGAATCTGGCCGTTTTACTTCAGTAAGTACTTAGTTGTTGTTGGTCTTCTGGTTGTCGTGACTGTGGGCCTTGCGTCCAGTTGCCATCCTGTATCCCTTCAGGTACTCGGTCTCGATGGTGTGGAGCTGCCCCTGGCTGGGAGGGTTCCAAGTATGTGCGTTGTAGAAGAGGGCCGGGTTGGCGAGCGCGTCGTTGAGGAGGGTCTTGCTGTCAATGCTCAGCTGCTTTCGCTTGTAGACCCACCTGTTTGCGCAGTGGGGTGCTGTGTCATATGTCGGGGGACGAAATCTATACATATCCACTGCTCCCTGGCCAGGCCCATCCTGAACCCAGGAGCTGTGTATGCGCCCTCCTGGCCAAGCGAGGAGGGCGTGGCGTATACACCGCTGCGGGGTTGAGGATGGGCCTGGCCTGGGAGCAGTGGATATGTATAGATTTCGTCGCCCTATACCTGTTTGCGCAGTGGGGTGTTGTGTCATGTGCGGGCCCGGGCGTTCACGTCGTCAACAGAGGAGGCGTCGGTGAGCTGTGCCCCTCCGTCCTCGCCGTCTCTTGCGTGTCTGCCCTTGGAGAAGATGTCTTCCCGGTGTCTTGTGTCGACGCCGATGTGTAGGTTACTGTCGATCGAAGGGTTGCAAAAAACCCTTCGTCGAAGGGTTGCAAAAAACCCTTCGTACGAAGGGTTGCAAAACACCCTTCGTACGAAGGTTTTTTTTTGCAACCCTTCGTTTTTTTTGCAACCCTTCGTCGAAGGGTTGCAACCCTTCATCCTCCGCGATATGTCGCGTAACCTTTGCAAAGAGGTAGTTGAAGGTGAGGTCTGATGCTGGTACTCCAGGCCGGGTGCCAGTACGTGGCTGTGCCATCCTTGTGGATCTTTTCGTGGTGGCCCACACGTCTGTGTGCGCGTCTTGTAGTAGTGCGCATGGGTACTCATCGTCGTCGTTGAATATAGGCGCTCCTTCCATAGGCATCTGTAGTGCAGGAACGAATGGTTCGGGCCTGTTGATGTCGCGTGGCCACTCGTTGAGCTCCTCTGGTGCATGGGGGAGCTGGAAGACAAAATGCAGCACGACTCTGTAGAAGGCGTTCTTAGAAGGCGTTCTTGAGGTCCAAGAAGAGGATCATAGCCGATTCGTCTCCCTCCCCGAGGTAGTCCACGACGCCGAGGGTCGTATGTGTGACGAAGTCGGTGGGCTGATGTGGTCGTGCTCCACATTGTGCGTCTCGTAGTAGTTGCGCCGTAATGCTCCTGAGCCTGGTGCGTAAGAAGCAGTGGTGGTGCTTAGCTATGGTGTTGTTGAGTAGTATCGTCCGTCTCGCTTGTAGGTCTGGTTTGGCAGCGCTGGGTTTGGAGAATGACGTTTGGCATCCTCCTTTGTGGGAAATTGGTTCCGCCGTCGCCAGCTGTGCCTCTACCAGGAGTGGGTGGTAGATTCTGGTCATCTCGTTCGGCGCGATCTTGCAGTAGTCATCGATGAGGTCGTCGAGGCCTCCGCCCCTGCCTTGCCTCGCCTGCGTGAGCTGGCGCTTCGTCCCCTCCTCAGTGACGATGTTGTGGAGCGGTGTGTCGTGCAGCGTTCGGATGGTGGCTGCATAGTTGGCGTGGTGGTTGTACTTGTCGGCGATGTCCTGCGGGCTCAGGATCTCCGAGTGCTCTGCGATGGCGAAGTGGTCCAGTTCTGCTTCCGCCTGTTCCTGTTGATCATGAAGAGGTTGGCCGTCAGGGCCGATGACGTGTAGGCGTTCAGCTGCAATGCGTCCTGTCTTCCTCCATACTTCAGGAGCCTCTTGATGCCGACCCATGCCCTTGTGGAATCGTTGTTGAGGTATGCATCTTTCGCGCTGTTGGCGATGCCCTCGAGGTAATTGGAGCGGTCGGTCTCGATGGCGCTTGCAAGCTGTGGTGATGATCCGCATGAGAGTGCGAGTGCCGCCAGGAGGGCTATCTCCTCGAGCTGGGCGTAGTTGTATGTTATGTTTCCGGCTACCCGTTGAAGTGCAAGTAGGGTTTCTGGGCCTGTCATGGCCTCGTATGCATTGATTGTGGGGGTGCAGGCTTCGTAGATCTGGTGGGCGAGGTTGAGGGGGCCATCCCGTGTCTTGGGGGTCTCGCCGTCTTGTCGCAGGCGTCGAAGCGGTCGTTGGCGCGCTCATCGTGCGCGAATGAGGGCGAACGTTGTGGCTTGTAGGTATGGCTTCCTGGGGTGAATCTTGTCGGTTTTGAAAGCCTTAATTCCAGCCTCATGTACTTGTTGTGAGAGGTAGCTCGCGTGGTCGTTCACCTCCTCCTGGACGTGTGGTAGCGGGGTGGTTGCGATCTCGTCCTGGAACTTCTGGTGAGCGCTTGGGTCTCTCGAGTTCGCACGGTCCATGGGCATGCCGCATCGTTTGATGTTGGTCTTCTCGATGTAGGCCAGGTCGGCGATGATTCGGCAGTGGTCCTCCTCGTCTTGGTGGGCGTCGAAGTTGTCAAGGACCTTTATGTACTTGACGGTCGGCTCTTGTCCGCATGGTAGGCACATGTAGTCGATCCGCTTCGTGCTGTTGTTCCCCGCGCTTGTATGACTGGGTCCATGTGTCTCGATGGCTGTGTTGGCGGCGAAGAGATTTTGTTGCTGCAGGTATGCGTGGAAGTACTTACCTCCGTTGTTTTCTTCCTCTGGTTGGCCTTGATCTCCAATGCGGGGGGTATTGTTGCCAGTAGTACCATTGGCATCGATGGTCATGATGTCGCCGTTGCACTTTTCCGTCTCAGCGCTGGTGTTGTCCCAGAATTGGTGGCAATCGAGGTCGTCGGCACGTGAGTGCGGCTCGCGTGCGACCGCCATGGTTCGCTTGAACCCAGGCGCGGTAAACTTGATTATGAGTTGTCGAGGAGTCTGGGTCATTATTGTCCAGTGGTTGGGTTTGAAGTAGAGCTGTTTGCCGTTGTCGTCGTGGTAGGGGAGATGCGTGTTGACAAGTAGTGGGCATCCCAAATAGTGTTTATCGCGTCCGCTTGAGATGATGGCGTGCTGGTCGGCGGTATGGTCCCCCGTGGTAGTCTTGATTCCTGCGCCCCAATGGTGCGTGCATTTATGTCGGAGAGCTGTTGTCGGATAGTTGTAGTTCTGGTTGTCTTTCTCTCTGTCGCGCCCCTGCTTCTGGGGTCTTGACGGAACGTGCGTTGTAGGTGCAGATGCGGATGTCGATCTTCTCGTCGCTGGAGGTCTCGGTGTATGGTGGTGCGAAGTGAATCGGTCGAGCTGGTATCTTCGCTGGAGGTGCCTCAAGTCCGTGTTGGTACATCTTAGGTATGCGTCCTTTGTTGCGCTGTCTGCTTCTTGTAGCCACTCCCGTTGCCGTTTTCTTTCGGCGTGGAAGGCTTGTGCCCGCTCTTCTTGTGGACATTGCTGGTTGCTAGGCGTTGCTGCGTACATCTTGGCGAGACTGTCTTCTAGTTCGTTCCACGGGTGTCCTGTGTGCGCTCGTACGTGGTCAGCGGTGAGGTCGTGTAGTGGTCGTGCTAAGTCGGTCAGCTGGTTAGGTTTCTTGGGTTGGAAATTGCCCTTGGCGAATCCTCTGGGAAACATGAAGTCGGCATGGATGGTGATGTCGGGGTTGTGAGTGGCGTTGTGGACATGTGCGTATATCCATGCGTAGGCCCAAGTCAGAGCTGAAAGTTCTGATGCGGTCGAGTTGCTGGGAAAGTTGTCATCTCTGAATGAGATATTGTTGCGTGCGCCGGTGCTTCCCTGGTAGATGTAGCCTGGTTCGTCTTCGGCGGTGATAACCAGGGCCCGTGAGTCTTGGGTGGAGTCGCGCTGATGCGTGCCATCCATGTGTGCGCAGGCGCCATCGTTTGACCTGTTGAAGGGGGCGAGGCGGGCACAGCTCAAGCGGCATAGCGTGTGCTGGGGAACGTTAGTGAGGTCATGCTGGTGCTGGAGGGTAGGTGGCAATGCGCGTCTCAGGACGGCCACTATTGGCTCCGTCGGAAGGTAGAGATCGGTCACTGTAGAGTTCCTCCCTTTCTGTGTACCTTGAGGGGGAGTGGTTCACTCATAGGTACGTGGGTCTGTAGATGTAGCACCCTCCGCGCTGATGTCCAGGTCGCCTCGCACGGGGCCCGAGTTGTCGTCGCGCGGTGGGTCGTATCTGGTTGAAATGGGCGCTGCGAGGTCGATGGCTGCCCCGCCGTCCCTCTTGGCGGCCAGGCTTGCCGAGCTTCCTCTGTCTCCCTCGAGATTAGCTACTACTGCTGGCGGTGTCTCGGTTTCCCTGCTGGCACGTGTACTCGCTACTTTGCTGCAGGGGGTATCCGGGGAATTGCGTGTGCGACGCTGGTAGAATGGGAGCATCGCTGCCTGTTGAATTCCGGTTCGGCGTTGGTAGCGGGATCGCGCATTGGGTCGGGCCCGTGCGGTTCCGGGGCTGCCAGCTGTAGTGAAGCTAGTCGACCCAGGTGTGATGCTCTTCTGCGGGCCCTCCTAGTGGGGTGTCAGTGTGTCGAACGAGTGTAGCTGTATTGGCCCTGTTGGCCTCAGTGACGGTGGCATCCCCAGTGCCGCCGTGCCTCGTCAGTTTTTTGAGGTATGGTCGTGGGCGCCCCTGTCGATGCAACTGCTGTCGGTGTCGTCGTGACGGTTCATGGGGGTGATGTTCCTCTCGTCTGCTGGGTCCACTGCGCCCTGGCCGTTGTCCGCTGCGAAGCGCGCGGAGCGTCGTGGCACTGACTGAGGTCGGCTTTGTTCCATGCGCATGCGGTGCATGCGAACTTCCTCCGATGGCTGCGTGGGAGACTTCGGTGGCAGTGATGCTGCTCTATTCGGTGGGGTGCCGATGTGAAAGGTCGGTGCTGGTCGGAAGCCGATCGGTGTCATGTTCTCCGTTGGTGATATGGTTGCTTCCCTTGGGGGTGTCCATGGTGTCGTTTCTGCTGTCGCTGGTGGTTGAGCTAAGCTTTCCTCTTCGTCTGCTATCGGTGTCGGTGCCTCGTCTCCCTCGAAGCCGCTGCGTTGGATATGGAACTTCTCAGGCCAAGTGAGGTAGTAGTCGTCGTTCCCCGGCAGCGTTGAGGCCGGTTCCCACGGCTCGACATGAGGTGGTATCTGTTCGTCACGGGGCTCAGGTCGCGCAGTTTGAGTAGGCGCGTCGGCGTCGAGTGCGGTGGCTGGGTGTTCGTCTTCTGGTGTCGGCCTAGCTAGGTTGTTCAGGTCCTTCTCGCGGTAGTATTTGCCCCTCTGGGCCTGTGCGCCGTG